AGCTCAATTCAGATTTTAAGGGCTACACCGAGCCCTTGGAGAATGTAGTTCTAGAGGACTCATTGGAACTCTGGAGAAAGGAATGCTGCAATTGATTAGTGATGTCTGTATGGACAGGGGCAAGAGCAGGTCAAATTGCATGCCATGTGTTTGCCCAAGGTGACATAGACCCAACCCCAAGCCTGTGTTCACCCCTACCTACACCTCTCTGGGCTCTTGATGTAGTCTGGGTCACCAGTTCAGCCATGGGTACCACCAGATTGCGGTCCTGAACCATTCTTGTGGTGGGTCTGGCTCATGGCCACTGGTGACCCTGAGGATGTGTATTTTGTTTTTGTTTTGTCCCAAGGTCTCTTCCTCCCAGAGCTAGCCAATACCAACAAAAAAGTACTTCCTGAGCCTGATTTAGCTCTTTCATCCCCCTCCACCAGCCCACACCCACAGACCTCCTGTCTGGCACCCTCATTGAGATCACCAACCCTAACTGGAATGGCTCCACATTGTCCAGATAATGACAGGGTAAAATTAGGTCACAAAAGGAGCTACAAACACCCAAGGATAGGGAGTTGAGGCAGGTAGGGACTGGGTATAAGAAAGACTGGCTCTCAGGCCTCAATCATCCTCACCGTCTCTCCCACCACGTTCAGAATCATTCAGTGACTCCTTATACCTTCAGAATGAAGATCTAGCACCTTCACTTCCAGGATCTGTCACTGACAGAGCTAGACAGTCTCACCTCCTGACTCCCCCTCTTTCATCTTACTCGTTCATTCAACAGACTGTGTGGAGTACCTCCTGTGCATCAGGCACTAGTCTAAATGCTAAGAATACAGTTGTGAACACAACTGACAGGGATTTCTGCCTTCAAGGACCTCACTGTGAGGCAGGTTAACCCTAATTGTACAGGGGAATTGGGAAATATATCAGAATAATCATAAAGCTGGGTCCAGGAGTTGAGACAAAACCAGGATATTTAATGCTTGAAAAATCACTAGAACAGCAAGGAATTGAATCAACTGTTCAAGAATGTACAGACCTGAATTCCTTCCCTCACCCTCTCTGCTCTTTTAGATGTTAAATAAGATATATTGTCCCAGATGAGTAATTGAGTCTGAGAACAGAAAGTGCCTGGTTTTTGTAACTCCATGATCAGGAAGAATACTTCAAAAAGGACCATAAAAGCAGGGCACCTGTAGTTCATGCCTGTAATCCTAGCTACTCAGGAGGCAGGAATGCGGTTTGAAACCAACTGGGCAAATACTTTGCGAGACCCTATCTTGAAAAAACCCTTCACAAAAACAGGGCTGGTGGAGTGGACAAGGTGTAGGCCCTGAGTTCAAGCCCCAGTACTGAATAAAAAAAAAAAAAAAGGATAATAAAGAACACACACCCATGTCACAAGAGCCTTTGATTGTAAAGCCAACTCAGACGTGTTGTCTCCATAGCATCACAGCAGGGTAATCAGAAAGTTGTCAGGTCATACCCCTAGGTGATCAAGTTTAGACTGGAGCCCCCCAGCCCAGTTAGGGGACATAAATACCCTAGATGAAGACCACCCTCTGAGCCCTAGCTCCCTCCTTAGCTTGTCAGAAGGAGTGGGCTTTTCTTTTCTCCCTGCTTTGTCCTCCTACCTGCTTGTCCTCCTACACTAAGTAAATCTCTGTTGACCTGTGACTTTCTCTATCTCCTTTGTGGATTGCTTCAAAATTCTTTCTGTTGTTAGTCCACGTTCCTAGGTTTTTGGTGGGCAACTGGAAAATTGAGTAGAGTCCCCTGTTCTATCAGAGGACATCTCTTTAACCTCCTAGTGACAACTGCGCTCCAGCCAGGCCCGGAAACCCCTAGGTGGTCTTTGCAAATGGTATACCCTCCCTCTCCATGGTCACTCTACTGCTTGGGGTGGGAGGTGCTCTATGTAACTTCTAAGACTTCCCTCAAAGTCTTCCCTAAGAACCCCAAGGTGGGTTCGGTGCCCCCCTCTATGCTCCTACCTGCAGTGTAGATCATCACATGGATGGTCACCATCCAGCCCAAGTCATCCTCCCTCCCCAACAAGGCTTCAAGAGCCTCAAGGATGGGTGCTGGGCCTTCTCTTCTGGGGATTCCAGAACCTACTTCCAGGCACACCCTTCTAAGAGTTTCATCTCTCAGCTCTGGGATAAGCAAGCTGAGCCATCAGGAGTGGGAGATCCAGGACTCTGGAGAATTCCAGGTCATCTTGAAATCTCCACCAGAGAAACATCTTCCTTCTGGAATCCCAAGGGAGGGAATCACAGGGGTAAAGGTGTAGAGATTCTAGCAAGGTAGGTGGAGGACTGGGGAGAGGTCAAGATCACAGGACATGAATGGAAACTCAGAGCCTGCTGGTCTGCTAAAGGGTTTTAGGCAGCAGAGACACAAGAAGGCCTCAGTTTCCCCCTAGGGGAGAGAGGACTGGATAGATCTGAGTGGCCCTTCAGGAGGGAGGGCATACAAGTCTCCAGCTCCTTACAGGATCCCCAGGAGGGCTGGGTTTTGGTCCTTCACAGTCTTGTCCCAGAGAGGATGCATAAGATGGAGGCAGGACTGCCTGACTCCTACCCCCAGCCAGCATTGGCACGGTGGATATCCTTACAACATATCTTCCCACCACCAGGCCTAGCTTACCAGTCCTACCCACCCATCACCAGCCAGAGGCCCCTGGTGCTGCTTGCCCATCAGGGCAAACACACAGGAGCCTTGTGCCCAGCAGCCCCCTCCCCATGGCTCATTTACATGGGATTTACATGGGCTCATTTCATGCCTCGATGCACACGGCTTCCTGCCCGGCTCAGCCTCTCCTAGTGCCTCTGTAGAGACAAAGGAGTGTGCTCCACCACTCAAGTCCCCTCCATGGGTCCATCAGAACACCACAAGCATCTTGAAGGAAAGACCGAGCCTGCTGAGGTGCAGCAAGGGCAGAGACCACCCTAGAAGTCACCCAGCAATCTGTGAAGGTCCAGGGCTTGACCCACATTTTCTTCCCTTGGCTGCTCTGCCCACTTGGGGCTGGAACGCCTGTCTCCTGCCCTTTGCTTTGTCACCAGCTGGGGACTCACTGAGGGGGAGGCCCTGAAGTCCCTCTTCTATTGCTGTTGTTGGCTGTGAGCCGAAAAGGCAAACAGATTGACTTGAAACCCAATAGGCACACAGGGCAATAAGGCTTGGGGAAGGCAGGGACCTTCCCAGGATCACAACAGGTACCAGCATCCCAGGTAGCTGGGCTCTTCTGGGCCCCTCAAACTCCCAAACGCTCCTAGCATAAAGCACCCGCTGCTACCTTGGTCATCCTGAGCAGGTTGGATGTGGGGAAAAGGAAGAGCAAGGGAGAATCCTCAATCCTGGGCTGGCCCAGAAGAGCTCAGAACAGACCAAAGAGGGGAGAAAATGCTAGGTAGCAGGCAGGGGGAGGTGGCATTTCAGTTCTATGGAATCTGCCAGAGCTGACCAAAGCTGGGCTGACAGAGAAGAGAACTAATCCCAAAACTGCTACACACACCCCCTCTAGCAGTTACTGCTCTCAACAAACTCCAAAAGCCTGGATGGCTGCCACCAGTGGCAGGGGACAAAGAGAAGGGAGCAAAGTGTGGCAGAGAGGATGGGACTGAAGGTCTCTGGGGGACATCTGGGCTCCTCTCTATACCACTCCTCACTCACATCCCAAAAGCCAATGCCCTAGACCTGATGAACTCCATCCACTGAACAGCTTCCTAATCCCCCTCTTCACCTTCCACCCCACCCCTGCCCCAGCCTTGTCCCTTCAGCATGCAGCCTCGCCCAGACCCCTCCCCAGCCTGGCCTGGGAAACACTCGGACACGAGCAGCCTCCGCACACACACACTTTTATCGCCACAATATCCCATGGGCCCTATTTGATCAGCCATCCCTCCCAGAATCCCCCTGAAGACAGGGAGGTCTGAGGCTATTTCCAGCATAGCCCTAGCCAGGACTACCAGGTGAAGAGGTGGGAGGGAGATGCTGGGGAGGAGGGGGGTGCAGGAGCGATTAGAACTGGGGCTGAAGGCTTGGGCAGGCAGCACACTGTTGAGAGATATGTGTTTGGGTCCTCATTCCTGCCTCTTATTGGGACCCTCTGATCTAGGGTCTACCAAGGAAACGAGATTGTGAGTCACGCTCACAAAGGCAGGGAGTCCTAAGGGAGGGGCTGGAGACATGGCTGAAAAGGTATAGCACCTGCCTAGCAAGTGTGAAGCCCTGAGATCAAACCCCAGTACCACCACCAAAAAAAAAAAAAAAAAAAAAAAAAAGGCAGCCCTAAGTCCCTAAGTGACAAACGTATCCCACCCCAACAGAGGGCTAGCATGGCAGGCAGAGAGCAGGCACAGGTAAATAAATAGCTTGTTTATTAGTAATATGTTACATTATTAAAGTGCATTGAGAAGAGATGCAGGGGCGGAAGCTGGAAGGCCACCGGCCCCAGGCCCTGCCCCAGACACAGCTGGAGAAGGGCAGCTCTTTGCTGAAATCCATGGACTGGGGGCAGGGCCGCCCACCTGGAGAGCTTGGCCCAGGCCATCCCCACAGGAATTTTCACAGTTTAGCCTAAGTTATAACATGTCCTGAGCTAAAGGTGGGAGGCTAGGAGCATGGAAGCAACAGCCCCTGGGGAAGGGGGCTGAGAGGAAGGGAGGAAGCCCCCTGCCCCCCAACCCCCAATGCCAAGGGCAGAGTCCCAGAACCTCCCCCTGTGGACCCGGCTCCTCCTTTGAAATGACCTCGGTGAACCTAGGGCTCAGTGTTCTCCTTCATTCTCCCCTGTCTCCCTCACCCACCCCTCCTACATCCACCCCTATGCTGGGACTTGTGCCCTCAGATTGGGCTCCCGGGGCAGAGCCAGCTCATGCCACCTTCCTCAAACCCACCCATCCCCTAGACTCTTATCCCATCCCCGGGAGCCCCAGACTAGGATTGGCCCCCACCCCGCCCTTACCAGCCCTCCCTCTCCCCTCCCCCCAGCATGTAGTTTTGGTATTTCATACAGATGCAGTCGGAAGTAGCTATACATGAAATAAGCCTAACATAAAAATAGAGCTTTTTCCGTCCTTCCGTCCGGAAAGCAAACATCCTTCAATAAACATGCAAGGCGCTGTCTGGTGGGACCCAGGCTGTGAGGGACCTGTAGAGGGCAGGCTGGGCAGCCCTGGGTCTGTGGAGACACTGGCCACCCAGCCATGGGGCAGGGAGGGAGGGAGGGGAAGGAGGCAGTTGGGTACAGAGAGTCCTGGAGGACTCAGGCCTCACTCAGCCCCAAGGTCCAAACATGTGGTCCTGCCCTTCCCAAACCCCACTGCCTGGCCCAGGGGCTCTCAAGCCAGGAACTGCATTGCATTCAGTCAAGTGTGAGGAGTTTTTGAAAAATATTCTCCAGGAGATCAAATCTTGAGTCACTGATGCTCCAGCGTCACAGTCAGCACCTTCAATCTCTGGTCCCCCCCACCGCCCCCACCCTACCTGGGCCCAGCAGCCGCCCGCGGCTGGACGTCTCCAGGCCTTTTATCCCTCACTGGGTTGTTCAGTCCTCCTGGAAGAAACAGCAGGCAAGGCGCTCCCGGGCCAGCCGGCTCTGAGCAGGAGACTTTTCTAGTGCCCCAGGGCTGGGGAAGCCTGGGGCGTACTCAGCCATTGGAGGCTCTAGTGGACCAGAAGGCCAAGAGCGAGCGTGGGTAGGACCCCCAGCCAGAAGGGGGCGGCCAGGGCACGGGCACGACCCATCAGCTGCTCTGCCAGGGCTCGGTCCTCGGGTACCAGCTCCCAGTGCTGAGCCTCACGGAGGTAGGAGCCCTCCTGGGCCTCACAGCGGTAGTGGCCATACTGACGGGCCGTGAGGTTCTCGATGAAGAGAATGCAACTAGGGCTCTGGTGGCCAGGCTCACAGCTCTGTTCTATGTTCTCCTCGTGGCGCCATGAGTAGGTGGCATGGCGGGACTCCATGGGGCAGCTTAGGTAGTAGCGAGAGTTCCGGGCCAGGGACACCTTCTGCAGCGGGGCCTCGTCTGGGGAGACAGAGGGAGGAGATAGTCACGAGGAGAGGCAGAGGCTTCCCACAGGACACTGTGTCCTTTCCCCACAGTTGGGGGTTCCAGTGCACAGCTTGTAAAGGAACACTGGGACCCAGCCTGCTTTCTCCTTTGTCCTTCCTCTCCTCTCCTAAGCAGCCCCACACCACCAGGTGCCCTTGACAGGGCTATTTCTGTCTGGGGCCTGTGGGTCGGAGCCATGCCTCCCTCAGGCCAGGGCAATGGGGCACACCTCCCTCACTGGACTGGAGCCCAAGGGCAGATCAGGTACCTGGTTTGGGGCTGGGACATTCTTTGTGTGGTTCCATTGGATTAATGGCCTGCAACACCGGCCTGGAGGTGAAAGAAGAAAAGTTCAGCAGATGGGAAACTACAGCTGACCCCTCACCCCACATCAGCATCCCCAGAAAAGAGGGTTGGGCCAAAATGTCCCTGCAGCCCTTTAATGCTACCCCACCCCAGTGTCCACTTTCTCCATGGGTAAAGGGGGACAAGGGATGAGGTCAATGTACCGCTGGGAGTTGTAGATGGACACACAGCGGTCCTGGTCCCAGCCACAGTAGGGGTCTCGGGACATGAGGCAGCCGTGGCAGCCCCCGCCGTAGACTTCACACAGGTCCAGGGGTACCTGGATTACTTCCCACTGGGAGCTCACGTACAGTTTCCGCTGGAAAGGGAGCAAGACTGGGTCAGGCGAGGACCCTGCACTGAATCCTTGGTCCGCAGGTCATGGGGCCCAGAGGCTCTTGAAAGGATATGCAAAGTGCATGCAAAGGAGCCCGGTCCTCAGCCAGCTGTCTGGGTAGCCCCGTGAAACTGGAGTGGGGATGGGGAGGCTCACCCGCTCAGTGTCCAGCGATATGGCCTGGATGGCAGCCGCATGGTGGAAGGGCTGGATTTCCATGATGTTGAAGACGAGATTGTGTTCCCGCTCCCCTGATTCCACCACCTTGTGAATGGTACCCCTGTCTGTGGGCAGTGGGCAGAGGGTCAGCAGGCAAGAGACCCACCTTAGAACCAAGCAGCCTCCCTCAAAGCCCACAGGGAAAGACACAGGGTGCAAGTCATGACTCAGGCGAGGGTCACAGGACTGGAGTAGGGTGGGGGGAGGACAGCGTGACCAGGAAGGAGTGTGGAGCCCAGGGGCAGCTTGGAAATTTCCAAGGCCGGTCCAGGAGGCCGACAGCTTCCCATGTGCCCAAGGCTGCATGGGAGGTGTAGTGTGAAGAGCAAGGCAGGAGCACTACACTTCTGCATTACCTCATTTACCCCTCAGCCCTGCCAGGTGGGTGGTTATCTCCCCCACTTCGCAGATAAGAAGGGGATGCTCAGAAAAGCAAAGCAGCTTGCTCAAGGTCAAATGGCTGGTGAATGGACAGAGACCCAGTTGGAACCCAGACTTGTCAGGAACCCAGACTTGTCAGAACCCCACCCTCAACTTCTTCCCTAACCCCCCTGCCTCCTGGAGACTCTTAGAGAATACATTTTCCTTAAGTAAATTGCTTATTTTTGAAAATTTCAGATTTCCAGGAAAGTTTTACAGAGAGTTCCTGTCTAGCCTCCCCCGACCCCCTCACCCTGGTTTCCCCTAATGCAACTGTCTTACATAACCAGAGTGCATCTGTCACAACTAAGCAATTGACACTGGAGCGTTACTATTCTCCAAGACACAGACTTCATTTGGATTTTATGGGTTTTTCCACTGATGTCCTTCTTTTGTTCCAGGATTCAATCCAGGACTCCACATTGCATTTAGTCTTAGGGGATATTTTAATTTCTACAAAATCTGAGATATGAAAAGAACCTTGTGTTCCACATAAGGGCCCCCAAGGTCACACATCCAGGCTGCTTGCTAGACCAACACTCTCTCCTCTGGCACCTGTCAGGGACTAAAGGGCATCCTGACCCCTGGTCCTCCAAATCCCACCTTACCTGCTGTCCCAGTTTCAAGAATAGTCTTCTCTCTCTTCCTCCCTCCCCATTTCCCAGGGCATCACCTGCCCTGAAAAAGCAGTCATATGATTGCTTGCCTCCTCTGTGGGTTTGTGATTCCCACCTGCAAGCTGAGATGTGGGCCTGACAAGCCCCCCAGCCCAGCCACTGCCCTCCACAGTGCTGTACGTCCACACACTCACTGCCTGGACCTCTTTCCAATCAGCGGGGGAGCAGGCTCCCGTCAGTGAACTTCTCAGGAACAGAGCCAATAACTTCTCCCAGTTATGACAGCCTCCACTCAGAGAGTTGAGTTTTGTTTTCTTTTCTTTTCTTTTAAATCTGGCCTCAATATGGCATCTCTCCCATACCCCTCAGGGAGGATAGAGACACCTTCTCTAATCCTTGAGTGTGCTAGCTGTCCAGGTCTGGGGGAAGGTAGTACACTCTGGGGAAGCCTGGTCTTTCCTGTCCTGGCTGCTGCTCCCAGTCCTGTACTATAGGACCTCTCCTCCCCTGCTTCCTGATGCCCTGAGGGAGATTCCTCTCCCTGAGGTGGAAAAGAACCAAACAATGGCCCTGGGGTTTCAGCTTCCCATCAGGCCACCAAAGCCTTGGCCCAGACAGCCTCAAGGTGAAATAATAGCAGGAAGTCACATGGAAGAGTATGAACAATTGAGGGTGGGGCTGGAGTCCTGAAGGAATGGTCCCAGAGGTATAGGGTCCTTTCCAGTCTCAAGAAAGACCTGCACCCAGCTCACAATGGCCTCCAACGCCTCTCCCAGGACCTCAGCCTGAGACCAGCAAGCTGCCACAAACCCCTCTCAGGACTGGCTCTTGCATGTTCAGCAGCTGTCCAGAATGCAGGAGCACCTCTTAGGGCCTCTCATCCCCCTCCCAGCGAGGCTCCTCCAGGAAGGGGAAGCTGCCCTAGTCTTCCATGAGACTCTACAAGGCTCTGCCATCTGGAACTCCTTCCTTATATTCTCAATTCTTTGTGTCTGACCAGCTCCTCCAATGTTTCCTTTCACCTGTACAATCCCAAAGTCAGGTGGAGGGTCTGTGGTCCTCATTCTGCCTAGCAGAGGCTCCCAGCAGGCCCAGTGCTTATGCCCCTCCTCCTAGCTGTCCACATTTCTTCCAATCACCTTCTTCCCTGAATCAGACATCTGGACTAAAGCGGCACCAGACTTTGCTCCGGCTCACCACCTTTCTGCCTCAAATCCCAATGCATGCTATTCTCCTATCCTAGGATGCCTTACCCCTCCACCTCCTCCAGGAAGCTCTCCCTGTCTGCCTGATCTTCCACAGCCACACAAACTAACCCTGATGGTTCTAGCCACGATACTTCCTTCCACATGCAAAAACCCAAGCAAATGGATTTATTCTTTACCCCTTTCATATTCCTTATTACCAGGTAAACCAGGGAGTCCTGGGTAGCCCCTCACCTGTGGTCAGGTAAAGCACATTGAAGGGCTCCCCATGACTGGCGTGCATACGGTGGACCACCACTTTCTGGTAGTGGTACTTAGAATGGAACAACGGCGTCTTCAGTGGCCCCATGGGTTCCACCCTCTGTGCTACTTCAGGGTGACTATCAGCCACCTGGAAGGTTTCTGTGGGTATTGGCTGCTGGTCTGGGAGGCACTGAGAAGGAGAGCAGGCAGGCCTAGGTCAGTGGGGTGGCTGGAAGGAGGGAGAAATGGGGCCTGGGCTATGGCTGGTGTCAACTGCTCACCTTGCCAGGTCGAGGGTTGGGAAGGCCCATGTGGTAGCCTTTGAGTGAGGAGGTACGGAAGACCTTGTCAATGTCACCAAGAGAATACACACAGACAGCTGAGTAGTTCCTGCAGGGACACAGATAGACACCACCTTGATGGGAGACCCAGGAGCCACGCACCTCCACTCACTCATTCAGGCCAGATCAGTCTCTTGGCGTATGAGCTCCGTGAGCCAAGACTATATTTGGAATGGAGCCCAGTGCTTGGGCCCAGCCTTATCAAACACCACTGAAATAAGGGATGGACAAAAGGAAGGGGGAAGGGAAGAAGGGAGAAGGGAGGGTGGGAGTTCAACTTAATTTCTCTCTGCAGCAGTCTGAAACCACAACCTTGGGTTCTGTTATGGCATCACTGAGTTCAAAGGCCATCTGCTCTATTCAACCTCAAAGCAGGAGCTCTGGCCCCTCTGGACACAGGCAGTGGGATGCTGATGCCCCGAGGAGGCCAGAATCTCATCTCCATCCACATGGGAGGGAGCCAGAGTGGGGTCTTGACTCCCCCCCCACCCCCCGACCCCGCCCTCATGCACTGAATACATTTGCCTGCCTTGTTTTCAATCAATGAGAGTGATTAAGGAGTGTGAATTACCGAGCACAGGCAGTGCCTGAGCAGGTGCGATAGCACCCAGCACCCCAGGAGAGGCCTTCACAGCCATTCCAAGGGCCCAGCTTTGGTTCTGAGCACACATGTGGCAGGACACACAGGCATGAGTGTGCACATGGTTTGTGCCTACACACCATGTGTACAGACTCACAAATACAACAACATACATATCACATTGACTGCATCCCTCCCACCCAGCAACAGTCCTGACCCTGCCTGTGATCTCTGCACATGCCAGACCAGCCATCCCTCAGCCGGGACCCACCCTTGCTTCCCTCCCATATACAGACCCAATGACAGCCTGAGCCCTAGGATGAGAGAGGCAGCCGCTGGCACTCACCAGGGGTTGGAGAAAACTCCATAGACCCTAGTGTCCCTCCACTGGCCACTGGGATCAGGGAGGAGGAAGACATCTTGCAACCTATTGAAGTTCTTGTTGGTAGCCACATCGCTGCACACCAGCATGGCTTTCAGGAAGGTGTTCCACTTGGAGACCGACAGTGAGCTTTCACCACCCTGGTCCCCCTAAGAAAGGCAGAGGGAAGAGGAGGTCCTTCAGTATCTACCCAGGCTACCCCACTTGCTCAAGGAGGCTGCTGCCAGGCATGCCAGCGCCCAGGCCAGAGGAGGACAGTAGGCTGTGAGGGGGGCCAGGACTCAGGTAGGCTTTTAGGTCAGGCTCCAGCATGGCTGACCCAGGACCCAGGACCCAGGGCCCACAGTGGGTCCTGCGACTGAGGGTACTGGGTTCCCCCCAGAGCACAGAGACGCAGACATACATCTGCCCACTCTCACACATGCACACTCACACACAAAAGCACAGCATAGTCATACAGCAAAACGTGCTCATGGGAACACACTGTCACTTCCACACGCATACACTTGTATTCTATCACAAGCACACACAAACTCAACCATCTTTACTCACAGACCTGTGCACACACCTTCACTCCTTCAAACCCAGGGACAGATCCACCATGTGCACCCAAGCACTCACTTCTATTGTGTATGTACAGACACACGCTTGCCTGCTCGGCCACCCCTCCCAATCCACTCACCCTGCACAGCTGGGCCACACGGGACACATTAAGAGGAGCCTCAGGGTTCTTGTCAGGATTGTCCTCCCGGAAGAAGTAGTAGATCTTGTCATCATAGGCCTGGTCTTGGTGCACAATGGTGGCCTTAATGAACTGTGGGTCTGCCAGGGACATGGGTGAGTGGCTGTGAAACTGGGGAGTCCACACGGGGTACCCACTCAACCCTGCACACCTGCCCGAGGATCTGTACAAACTCAGGGAATATTAGACCTGGAATAACCAGAACGTGAGGTCTAGCACCCAAAGGGCCCTCGATTCTGCAGCCCCACCCACACGTTTGCCCTCCTCCGACAAAGATGTCATCGGCCCAAGAGCAATGACTTCATGCCTGGGGACTGGAGGAAGGCTCCTGGGGGCCCCTATGTCACTTCTGCCTAATTGTCAGAGCCTTAATGAGGAAGGAGGGGTGGGCTGTCCCCACATGAGCTCAGCAGAGGGATGAACTTTGGCTCAGAGGCCCTGCTATGTATCCGAACTTTCTCTGCGTTTGTTTCCAGAGCAGGTCAGGACTATTCTGCCTCCATACCTTTGTGTCTGCAGTTCCTCTGCTCTTGTAACCCAAGCTCCTCTGCACTGGCTACCCAGGCCTGCACCAGTTTCCTACTTTCCTAAAAGGCCCCCAGGAAGCCTTCCCAGGACACATCAGGAGGCCATCTGCTACCCGGGTGCCCACGCCCCCCCAGGTCCACCCTCAGCTCAGCCAGAACCTGACTCACTCTGCATGACAGTGTCACTGGTGTACAGTTCATTCTCGCCCCGGATGCGGCGGAACCGAGGGATCTTCCCATTGTACTCCTGCTTCCGGATGGTGGAATATACCTCGTCCCCTGGGGACCGTGGCAGGGGATATGGGTAAGGGCCACTGGACATGGTGCTGACCAGCCCTGTGTAGCAGCACCCTCCCAGGGCCCTTGTATCCATGCTGCCCTACCTTCAAACAGAACCAAGGAGTTCTCATCTGGGCTGAAGGGAGCATAGCCTCTCATCTCGCCAAGTGACATTGCAGTGTCATTCACCTAGGAGAGATGCAGCGGGGATGATTACATAACCACTGCCCCCATGACAGCCAGTTTCCCGGCCAGGAGCCCGTCCTCCCAGGAATTCTTCCCAGGGTGATGAGCCCTAGTGTCACCACCCAGGAGAGAAGGGCTGCTCAGGAACAGGGAAGGGGAGGGGCCTTCTCACCAAGGTCCAGCAGCTAGGACGTCGGGCATTGGTGCCACAGACTAGCAGCCCCTCACTCCGCCTCTCCAGGAGCGTGATGTAGTTCTCACAGTCCTAAGCAGAGACGGGAGATGGGCCAGGAGACAAAGTGGGTGGGTGGGAAGCCCTGGCAGGCTGGTAGTAGAACCCTCAGTCTTGGGAGAGAGGATTCAGAAAGGTAGCACAGGTGGCAGCCTCCCAGGATAGCCCAGAGGGGATACACCTGACTCTATTTACCTAAAAGCAGAAGCCTCTGTTCAAAGAAAGACCAGATGTCCCCCTGAGACTGGGGCCCTAGGAATGGTCCAAACCTCCCCCATCAATCTGGGGCTCCCAGGGCAGAGCTATGGCTCCTTCCTCAGAGTCGCGGCATCTATGCCCTCTTCCCCAAGGAGCACAGACCCCTCCACACTCCATCCTCCCACTCACCTGCTTGTCCAGGCAGGCCCCCTTCGTGGAGTTGACGCTCACCTGAGGAAAAAGAAGAAACATTAGTCCGCTTTTCTCGGGGTAAGATACCCCCCAAATTGCTCTCTGTGCACCCCCAGGATAAGCCCTAGATGAAGTGACCATTATTCTTATCTTGCAGATGAGCAACTGGGGCTCAGAGAGGGCAAGTAAATTTCCCAAGATCACACAGGCTGCCTACTCTGACACAGGGAGCCAGAGCCCAGCAATTTCGTAAGACGACCATGGGTTCTGGAGTCCAGTATACTGCTCTGCCCTCCTCCATCAGTGCTGGCCACCTGGCCAGGTGTGATAGCTCTCATTTTTCTTCCATGTCACTAGACTCCCTGCTTCAATCTGGACTACCTTTAGGAGCCTCTCCCAGGAACCATTTATTACGGTAAGATGGAGGCAGAGGGGCCTGTTTAGAAAGGGATATTACTTCCTTCATATTCCCTGAGGGCCTTACCAGGACCAGAGGACAGAAAAGAGGAGAAATGGAAAGGGAAGAAGACATGGGGTCCAGGCTCACCGTGCGCACAGAGGCGTTCTTGCCTTCCGGGAAGTCGAAGATGTAGACCTTGCCACGTCCACCCACCCACACGGAGGAGCTGCCTGGCTCATGGAAAAGCACTGTATGCGGTTCAGCTTGGCCAAAGTCCACCCGATCCTGTCCTGCACAGCATGAGAGGGAGGAACACTGAGTAAGGATCTCTGATCTCCCCAGGGTATATCCAAGCACCTGCTTAGCAGCTAATGCTTGGAGCTCAGAGCACTGAGGGTCACCGGCTGGGGTAGCACCAGGACTTAGAGAACCATGGGCAGGAGAAGTAAGGAGTCCCCTGGTGGGCTCCAGCAACCAATTGCCCTCACTAGATCCATGGCTTCTCCCCTAGGAGGATGGCTTCTCCCCACGGGGTAGGGGAGGGTTTAGAGACCCTGGGAAAAAACACACCCTTTCCCCAAACACACTCCTGGGGGGCTGGGTTGGCATGGCAGGACCAGTGCCCATCAGTTCTGCACTCTGAGGGGCTCTGCTACTCCAAGACAGAGCAAGTAGCACCCTCCTCTTGGGCTTTTCAGCAAGCAGCAAGGCCTCTAAGCACCTGAAATCACTTCCTTCAGAACCCCAAGTCCTCCTTCAGGAAGCACTCTCCAATCCTCCAGGCCTACCCCAGCCTTTTAGGGGGTCCTAGATTAGAGCAGGAAGTGATTCAACATCCAACTCCTCCCATTTCACAGTTGGGAAAACAGAGGGCAGGCAGGGAACCAGCAGCCCCAAATCAGGGCCTATACTTTTGTCTCCTGAGATGGACTCTTGCATGGCCCATGCTAGCCTGACTTCACCCACCAGGGTGCCAATTTGCCTGGGCAAAAGGATCAAGGATCAGCTCTCTTTTCCCAGCAACTCTGGAACAGAGCATAGCCTGGGTCATTCTGCAGAAGGAAGAGCTGACCGGGACAATTTTGCCCAAAAAAGAAACTGTCTGCAGCCACCGCCTCCAGGGAGAAGCTGTCTCATCTCCGGTGACATTGCTGAGGTTGTCCTGGTTGCAGGACTAAATTACAGGGGTGGGATAGCCTGTGGCTATGCCCTCAGCAATCAGCAATAGCCAGCATCTTCCCATCTCTGATCAGTGTGGGGCCTCACCCAGGAACATGGTCTGACCACTGTTTTTTCAGCTGCAGCAAACTCTAGGACGGCCAGTTTGGCAATGACACCCACGCAAGACGTGCCCCATCCCAGACAGAGAAAAACTGCCATTTTGTCAAGGTCTGCCCCAAATCCCTCTTGCTGCCATTTGGGCCATTCCTACTGATCGCACAGCCAACAGGCACAAGGCATGGCTGGAGCACATACTGTGGGTCCCACACCTTCCTCCCCCTTCCTTAACACACATCCCTGCAGAGCCAGATTCATACTCTGCACCTCTGCCACTGTATAGAGGAGGACATTGACCCTGCCCCCCCCAGAAGGGATAAACCAAGCCCAAGGTCAGTGCAGCAGGCAGGACAGACTGGCTCATCCAGACAGTATCAGTTCTCAGGAGTATTCATGGAGATGTCAACACAGTTGGCCAGAGCCAAGAGCTAACGCCACTGCCCTCAGATTGGCCTGGCTCTCCTGGGGCGTTCCACAAACAGCCTGACCCAGCAGTTCAGGGGAGATCAAGCCTGTGACCTCCAAGGCTACCTCCTGTCAGCCCCCGGTGTACAGGGCAGGGGCTGAGGATCCCACTCTGTGCTGCTAGCTTGGTGCAGGTGCAAGATGCTGGCAGATCCCTGCTCCAGCTCGCTTTAAGTAAAATTGGAATGCTGGGGTCAGCGGCCTGCAGACACTTAGTCTTCCTGACTCAGCTCTTGCAGCTCCCCTTTCACCCGCAGCCAGAGCAGCAGCCACCATCCCCATGGCCCAGCCTGGTGCGGACTGCAGACAGTCTGCAGCCCCAGTTCCCCATGCACTGCCCCCATGGCCAGGCTGCTAGCCAGGAAAAGATTCACATTTGCCATCTCTAGATGTTGGGCTGGTCAGATCCACAGACCAAGAGGCCAAAGGAGAGAAGATCCTTGGGCCATGATGACCACTTCCACCAGTCCCCTTAGCCCCTCCTCCCGCCCCACCCCTGCACCTGCACCAAGGCCTCAACCCCCAGCCTCAGAGGAGGGGCAGGTAAGGCCAACATACAGCTAGATTCATGAGGAAAGATGCACCAGTGAGGACTCTGGAGGGGTCCCCTTGTCTGGAGTTTGTAGGGCTGTCATAGGGAGGAGCTCTGATGAAGGAGTTGAGTCTGATAGGGGCAAGGTCCGATCCAAGGGGGAGACCTGACCCTACTAGAGAATCTACTCTGAGAGACAGCCGTACCACAAAAGCTTCCCCAGCTTGCTAAGCAGCTAAGCATAGGGTCTCAGTAGAGAGCCCAGGACTGTTCACAAAGGACCTGACAGAGACATGAAGGGAAGGAGAAGGTGCCGGGGCTGCGTGAGGATGACGCATTTCCCTCAAATCCTGGCTGCAAGGCTGAGGCGGGAGAAGGCAGTGACTGTTCACCCCACTTTGCAGAACAACAATCAAGAGTCCTCAGGAAATTGTCTTCCATGACCCCCAGGTTCCTGCCCTTCCCAGCTCTGTGCCTGGTGATGTGTATGCAGTGGGGGGGATGGCACCAGCTCAGGCTCCAGGACAAGACCTTGGCGCATTGCATTCTCTATCCCAGCCCCTGCCTAGCTCCCGCTCTGCCCGAGGCCCTCAAAGGGCCTGATTGTGCCCGGGAAGTGTCAGAGCGCAGCAGCTCGATGAATACATGAAAGGAAGCTTTGTTCAGGTCGGCAGGAGCGGGGGCTGGGGGCTTGGGGCAGGAGGGCTGCCTGGAAGTGAAGGCAGCAGCAAGCCATCATGGATCTGTGGCCCTGCTGGGTTAACACCGAGAGAGCTGGGCCAGCAGAGGAGACAGCCTTCAAGGCTCTGCCCAGGCAGGGGCTGAGTAAGGCTGGAGCCTGCCCTAAAAAGACCCAGGCCAAGGAAGTAAGTGACACAGTCCTTAAACACTCTCTTTTAACTGCCTTTGTAAAGCCAAAGGGATAGGGAAGCAGATAAAAAAGCTAGATGGCCCAGGAACAAGGTGGAGGTAGGGGTCTGGGCAGGGAAAATAGCCTGAGCAAAGATGGAGAGGCTGACGGTATGGAGGCTGCGTGCTACAGCCTGGCAGCCTCTAATGAGAGAAGAATCAGGAAGGTGGGCCCCATGTGATGGGGGAGGGGAGGCGCAGCCAGCCCAAGGACACACTGACCCACTGCCCATTGGTCTCCCTGCAGCCTGGTCCCACTGAGCAGAGCCAGGAGTGGGAATACCTCCCTGTCCTCTGGCACCCCCGCCTCCTGGCTCCCCCTGCTTCCTATCCTGTGAGTCTAAAAGGAGCACCGTCTGGCACCGGGTCTCCCCCCTTACTCCCCGGCCTGACGCATTAGTGGCTGACTAAGTGGTAGCTAAAAGCTCCCAGAATAACCAGGGGTTCAGGCAGGGGAGGGGGCTAGGGGCACACAGAGAGAACATGGCCCCAAGGCAGGCTGGGCATAAGAAAACCCACCTCTACCCCATGTGATTCTGAGCCAATCTCCACACTGTTGGACAGGGAAAGCACACTCAGGCTGCTCCGTACCTAGCCAGACTCCATGGCACTGGATCCCCACCTTTTCAAAGTGGCAGGGTTCCAGCTTCAGCCAGATATGAGCCAGACAGGTGGTCTCATGCAGACACAACCTCCCCTCCTTCCAATCAGGGTGTCTATGGGACTCTGATCTTGTCGGAAAGAGGCCTGATTTGGGATGGGGTGGGGAGGAGCAATCGCCCATCACTGTCTAAGCAGCCGCTGACTGTGGCAGGCCTGGACCTCTGCAGGGTGGGTTTTTCCAAAGCAGGACTGCCTGGCAGAGCAAACGTTCCTTTTCATTCACTCTAGGTGCTGTCACATCTGGTCCCACCATCTCCCTATCCTCCATGCTCATGAAAGAGGAGGGCAGCCTGAGAGAAGGGCGAAGTCAGTGTTGTTGTCCACAAAAGGAACAAGAAGGGTTTGGGCCCTGTTGTCTGGTCTGGCAGAGACAGCCCTCCAACCTGACCTACTGACCCCACAAGCCTTGAATGCTAACCTCAGGGAGCCCTTTGAGAGTGGGCAGAGAGAATGACAGGAATTTGGGCATCCCAGCAGGAAATGCCTGAGTAGGCTGCCAAGGACCAGGAGCCTAGCCAACCACAGACTGGGGACCCAGCCACATCTGGCAGGGACCTCGTCCCACAGTTTTGCTCCATTCTGCTTTTCCAGGCCCACTCACACACTAGCCTGATCATACACTGGCAATGAAGGGTCTCATGGGGCCCAGGAATTAGCCTGCAGCCTCTCTACCCTTTGGAATCCCATATCCCATACAGTAAGTAGAAGGGAGGGGATCCAAGTAAACATCAGGCTGAGGCGGCTCAGCAGCCAGGGAGCGTGTACCACCGGCCCAAGGGCACACGAGGGAGGTTGGCAGTTTCTGGTCCTCACCACACCACTGCATGTGCTCAGGGCCACTTGCTGGACTTCCTTGAGAAACTGTGATTTGCAAAAACCGTCTACTCCACTTCTCTGAGTCACCCGCTCTGTATCCTCCCCCCTTGTTTGCTAGGCACCAAGTCACTAACTAGATAACAGGAGGGGATCACTTGCCCATCCACCTTCCAGGTGGAGCCCTGCCCTGATCTCCCAGGGGGCTTTAGCAATCAGTCTTAGACCCAAAGGCGTGGCTAATGGTGGAACTGCAGGTGCTGTGTCGGGGTGGTGAACAGAAACCCTTCCACTGGCAGCAGACACACAGGAACAAGTGTATCATCGGCTCTGCCTCTCCTGATATGATAGGAAAGAGGGGTGAGAAGCCATTTCCAGGTGGCACTGGCCTGATGCTAAGGATAGGTCGTGGTTGCCTTTTGGGTTCCGGCAACACTTGGGCAGAGATAGGTTACAACAGCTGTCTGGCAAGGGTAGGGCCTCTGTGCTGGCACAGGTGGCAAGGCCTTGAGGTGGGAGTCAGAGGAACGAGAAGTCCGTCCTCTTTATCAGCGATGGGAACAAAGCTATGTGCCAGGCCAGTGTGAGACCATCCATCCGCCCACCAAGGTCAGCTGTGGGTAGAAGGGG